CATCCAAAATAAAAGTTTTTGTTTACATAATATATGAGTTTGTACTGTGTATATTTATTATGTATATATAAATACAAACACATGCATGTATATATTTAAAAAATGTTATGTTTATATATTATATATATTTATATATAATAAAAATATAATGTAAATTTATATACATGTAAACATTTTCAAAATATATTCAGTATGTGAGTGTATTTATAGTATATAAATAATAGATAAACACAGTACACATACTTATATCATGTAAACAAAAACTTTTATTTTGGATGCGATTAATGACGATTAATCGTTTGACAGCGCTCATTTTTAATTCTAGGTTTTTTTTCCCTCAGTATTGTCTGATATTAACTCGCAATTCTGAGAAATAAAGTCAAAATTCTGAGAATTGCAAGATATAAACTTGCAATTCTTTTTTCTCAGAATTGTGAGTTTATATTTTGTAATTGTGACTTTTTTCCTAGAATTGTGAGTTTATATCTCGCGATTCTGACTTTGTAACATGCAGTTGCGAGTTAGAAAGGCAGAATTGTTGTAAGTCTTTTTTCGCATTTGCGAATTATGAAGTCTAGTTCTGAGGAAAAAATGCAAGATCTCATAATTTTGAGAAAATAAGTCATAATTGCAAGATATAAACTCACAATTGCGAGAAAAAAGTCAGAATTGCAAATATCTCGAAATTTAGACTTCCTCGCAATTGCGAGTTTTCTGACTTTATTCTGTCAATTCGGAATTCTGACTTTATAACTCGCAATTCTGACCTTTTTCTTAGAATTGTGAGATATAAACTCACAATTCCCAATTTATATCTCGAAATTGCAAGTTAATATCTCAAACTTCTGACTTTCTTGTAATTGCGAGTTTGTTAGTTAATTCTGACTTTATAACTCGTGATTACAAGTTTACTTAATTCTGAGAAAAAAAGTCAGGATTGCAAGTTTATATCAATTCTGAGAAAAAAATTCAGTATTGTGAGAAAAAAGTCACAAATGTAAGATAAAAAGTCGCAATTGTAAGATAAAAAGTTGCAATTACTTTTTTATTTAGTAGCGGAAACGGGCTTCCATATATATTACTCAAGGAAATTTTCTACTTTCATGTTTCTTTCCAGCCCATTCCTGCATGCTAAAGTCAGGGAGGTGGTGTCAGACTGTGCATTGCCAATCTCTGTGGTCATCTTCTCCTTTGTGGGCTCTTACCTGTTCATCGACATTCAGCGTGAGTCCTCATGTCAAAAAACAAACAAACACTCCTTTAATGATCATGTAGTACTTTTGCTTATATCATAATTATCACAAATAGACTCTGGGTTAGGTGCGATTTCATCCCGCAATAATGTTGAATGTAATAATTATGCAACCCATCAGAACTCCATCAGAACATTTTGTCATCATTTACCTGCCATAATGTCATTCCAAACCTGCATAACTTTCACAAAAGGAAATGATTAGCAGGATATTTAATGGCTGTCAAGTTTGAAAAATAAAAAAAGCAACATTAAAGTAGTCCATATTAGGGCTGCACGATAAATCGAAATGGAATCGAGATCGCGATTTGACAGAAGCTGCGATTGTCATGCGTATCTTTTAGTGAAGCACGGTTCTGTGATCAGCAGTAAATCTCCATCCAAAGGCCAGAGGGTGCTCTCGCGCTGAAACTCCAAATACACCTCGCAGAAGAAACCCAGAAAATGCCTATCGCTGCAGCTAAACAGAAGATTCAACTGCTTTCATTGATTCAGCGTGACTAATAAACACACGACTACGGCAATATACGGTTTATCTGAGTTCTTATTATTATAATTTTCATTAAAATAAAGTATATTTATAATGCAATGCCTTTATCACTGCTTAAATACTATGACATAAATGTCATATATGTTGCGTGCCTTATTCTGTGTAAGAAACATCTCACAGAAGGATTTATTTCAAACACTCGACTGACGTTATGAAGTGAGTTTGGAGTAAAAATATGTTATTAAATGTGGTATTTTCACATGCTTTCAGATGGAGCAGCATTTACTTCATAGAGCCGTAGTTCACTGAGAAGCTATGCAAACAGCTGTCATTATCGCGAATGATTTCTTCAATTTCAGAATCGCGCAATAAAATCGTCTGCAATATTTTTGCGTAACTTGTCAGTGAACTACGGCTATGTGTAGTAAATGCTGCTCCATCTGAAAGCACGTGATGATGATTTACTGCTGATTACAGAACCGGCTTTTTTAACAAAATGCGCATGACAATCGCATTCGATTAATCGTGCAGCCCTAATCCATATACACAATGTGCTTTATACCAAGTATTTTAGAGGCATTGTGTGATGAATAGATTGAAATATAAATAATTTTTTGATAATCATCCCCTAAATTGTAGTCTCTTTCACACTTCCACACATTTAATATAAATACACATAAATAATTCATATTAATTTGTACAATCTTATTCGTATGTTTTCCTATGAACTGCTTACTCCCCACTGACAGTTTTGTTTTTGGGGTGGACTATCATGCTTACCGTTTTCCTAAAAATCTCACATTTTTGTACCTTTTACATAAAATACTTTCGTAAATGTTGTTATATCCAGTGCTGGGTAGATTACTTACAATTGTAATCTGTTACTGATTCCAAATTTACGTAACAAAAATTTTAGTTAGTAATGTAATCCATTACCAGGGGTGTGAAGTAACGAATTACAAATACTCACGTTACTGTAACAAACAGCTGTCATTATCGCGAATGATTTCTTCAATTTCAGAATCGCGCAATAAAATCGTCTGCAATATTTTTGCGTAACTTGTCAGTGAACTACGGCTATGTGTAGTAAATGCTGCTCCATCTGAAAGCACGTGATGATGATTTACTGCTGATTACAGAACCGGCTTTTTTAACAAAATGCGCATGACAATCGCATTCGATTAATCGTGCAGCCCTAATCCATATACACAATGTGCTTTATACCAAGTATTTTAGAGGCATTGTGTGATGAATAGATTGAAATATAAATAATTTTTTGATAATCATCCCCTAAATTGTAGTCTCTTTCACACTTCCACACATTTAATATAAATACACATAAATAATTCATATTAATTTGTACAATCTTATTCGTATGTTTTCCTATGAACTGCTTACTCCCCACTGACAGTTTTGTTTTTGGGGTGGACTATCATGCTTACCGTTTTCCTAAAAATCTCACATTTTTGTACCTTTTACATAAAATACTTTCGTAAATGTTGTTATATCCAGTGCTGGGTAGATTACTTACAATTGTAATCTGTTACTGATTCCAAATTTACGTAACAAAAATTTTAGTTAGTAATGTAATCCATTACCAGGGGTGTGAAGTAACGAATTACAAATACTCACGTTACAGTAATTAAGTAGTTTTTATCAGTAATTGTACTTTTTTGAGTAGTTTAAAAATTGTGTACTTTTACTTTTACTTGAGTACATTTTAAGTGATGTATCGGTACTTTTACTCCGCTATTTTCCTCCGTTTGTGGTCGTTACATGCTTATTTTAAATTGTATTTTTATCTATCAACGTGATTGGATAGAGAGTAATAGGTCTTGTGACTTTCGTCAAATCAAATTGTGCATAGAAACCTTTAACCGCCAACTGTTTATCATGGCTGCTGGAAGTGCATTATTCAAGCATCAATTCACTCGCATCTTCCTCTAACTTGATATGTTAAGGTAAATTTTGGATTTCTGCTTACTAAATGATTTGTATATATGCTTGCCTATCTACAAGGCCTGAAATTTGGTGTGAGGTTGCGGGTATTGTGTACAGTGTTAACTCACGCAAGTGCCACGTTCGGTAAATTCCCCACTCATGAGACGTGCGATCTGCACTGCCTCGTCTCTCTCTCGTGTGCGTTCTGCAGCAGTCACTTGGATAAGTCGTTGTTGCTTGTTGAACTTGTTGACTTTTGATGAGTTTGAGCACGTGATGCGCGCTGTGAAAAAGTGTATTGGAAACACTATTGAGGACCAAATCTGCACCTTATTGATGATCCGTGGCGTTAATATACTGCATCTGTGCCAGCACGTGATGTAATCAAACTGCAGCTCGTTAATAAACGTTTTTGTTTTTAAATCCATTTTATACAATTAGCAAGTGCACTCGCGCATAAACAATTTTCACGAACAAGATAATGTGAATTACAGAATGTACAACGTTTTTAAAATGTATAAATTGCGGTGTACAGTGTTTATTATGAGGGGGTAGAATCCACAGCTCAGTACTCACTACTCAATACTCATGAGTACTTTTAAATAGGCTACTCTTTTACTCTTACTCAAGTAGTTTTTTTGGACAAGTACTTTTACTCTACTCACACTACATTTTTTGGAAGGTAATGGTACTTTTACTTGAGTATATTTTTTCAGTACTCTTTCCACCACTGTCCATTACACATTTTAGGTAATATAATTGGACTACTTTTTGATTACTTTTAGATTACTTGTGACCTAACTCATTTTATCACATTGATTTAAATAGAACAATATTGTACCATCTTCATATAAAAATACAAAGTGAAAGAAAATATATCCCATTTGTTGTTATTAACAACATTAAGTGCATTAAACATTACATTAACATTTCTTAAAGCGGGGTTCATGAAGGATCTGTAGGGGGTTTGTGGGTTAAATGAAAAGCTAATAATTAAACAATAACATTTAAAATTAAATTAAATTCTTTTGAAATAATTACAATCAAAATAAAACACATACTAACAAATTTAAATGTTTTATTTGTTTACCTGCATTCTGCATGTGACCATCAACGTCAGAGAAAAATGCAAATATGCTATTGACTTATTACTTTGAAATCTCAGAGGGTACTTCAAGTAAATATATTAGGTAAAAGACATTCAGCTGACAAAAAAGACCTGTGTGAATAATATGTAATCATGTAATCAATAAAAAAAAGTAACTGTAGTTGTATTACGAATATTTTAAAATGTAATATAATCTAATTACAAGTACCTAATTTTTGGAATCTGATTAAGTAATCCAGATTACATGTAATCAGTTACTACCCAGCACTGTTAAATCGTTAAAAAGTGTATATTTTAGGCTGGTCCAACCAATGGATGTGGGAGTCTCCTATGGGAAGTGAATAGTCTTTTTTTTTTTTTTTTTTAAGGTGGGACTTCCATTACTAGAGCTGCCAAATTGCATGTTGCTTCTTCTCCCGTTCACAGCAATGCGAGTAATATCTGTTAGATATTATACAGTCTTTGATTCAAACCTGGCACCTCAAGACATGTCACAGCAGGACATCCTGATCAATTGCCATTGACGTCAAACCTTTCGCAATCCATTTTGAGGTGACAGGTTTGAATGTGATTGAAAGCTTTGGCAAAGTGAGTAAATATTTGCAGAAATGTCATTCGTTTGGTGAACTATACATTCAGTTCTTCCAATATGTTGATCCACAGTTCCAGTATTCAACTACCAGAATGAAGCCCTATTCAGAGTAGCAGCTTTTGACCAGCTGACAGGGATGAATGTATTAAGTGCATGCGGTCTTGGCTTTCTCCTTGCCTTGCTCATCTTCATTGACCAGAATATTGTGGTGTCCCTCACCAATGCCCCAGAGAACAGGTATCCATGCAGAAAATCAAAAACTATTTCAATTAGTTGAGTCATATTTGCAGTGTTGGGGAAGTTACTTTTAAAAGTACACTCTTAAAAATAAAGGTGCTTCACGATGCCTTTTTGTCTAAATGGTTCCATAAAGAACCTTTAACATCTGAAGAACCTTTCTGTTTCACAAAAGGTTCTTTGTGGCGAAAGAAGGTTCTTCAGATTACAAAAAGGTAAGAAAGAGACGGTTCTTTAAAGAACCTTTGACTGAATGGTTCTTTGTGGAACCAAAAAATGGGTTTTCTATGACATCGCTGTGAAGAACCTTTTAAGCACCTTTATTTTTAAGAGTGTACTACATTACAATATTACGTTGCTTAGTTACTTTTTATGGAAAGTAATGCATTATGTTACTTTTGCATTACTTTTTAAATCTGTGCTGGACTTGCTTGTTTGTTTTTAATATAAAAAGTTATATTTTTGGCAAATGTAAAAACCCTTTCACACCAAAAGTGAAACAATAAGCCTCAGGCTGAAGGAAATGTAAATTCACGTATGTATGGTAGAGGGCGCTGCTCAAACAAACCTTTCAGCTGCTGCCTTCTGGATTGCATGAAGAATAGGACGCAAGAGATGAAAGTTTAACACTCTTCAGCAATAAAAAAAGAAGAAGCACAAATGTTATGTATATCTAAAGTAATTGTTGCTTATTAGTGTGGTTTGATTGGATCATCGAAGGTCAGCAGCAAAGATATTGGTCAATCAAATGGGACTGAATACATATAAAGGATATTTGTGTTATTTAACATATTTAATTATTTCAGGTTTGTCATATTTTGAGTTTGCACTTGCTTTCACTGTTTTTATTCATTTTGAGAGATACTGAATGTGTTTTTGTAAGTGAGATGAGTAAATGCATGTTGACATTTAGTCTAGATCTACAGTAACATCATGTTCACACAGCGCACACAACACCTCTGAACTTACTCCCCATTTCTCTCAACATGAGGACAGGAGAGCAATCAGCCAATAAATGGGAAACAAAGTAACTGGCAACATTTTCTCAGACATTTTCTTGTACAGTAAATTAAAAAGTAATGCATTACTTTACGCATAACTTGAAAAAGTAATCTGATTACATAACTTGTTATGCGTTACCCCCAACACTGCATATGTGACTCTGGAGCACAAAACCAGTCATAAGTCGCTGGGGTGTATTTGTAGCAATAGCCAACAATACATTGTATGGGTCAAAATTATCCATTTTTCTTTTATGCCAAAAATCATTAGGATATTAAGTAAAGACCATATTCCATGAAGATATTTGGTAAATTTCCTATCGTAAATATATCAAAACTTAATTTTTGATAATTAATATGCATTGCTAAGAACTTAATTTGGACAACTTTAAAGGCGATTTTCTCAGTATTTAGATTTTTTTGCACCCTCAGATTCCAGATTTTCAAATAGTTGTATCTCAGCCAAATATCGTCCTATCCTAACAAACCATACATCAATGGAAAGCTTATTAATTCAGATGTTTAAATCTCAGTTTTGAAAAATTGACCCTTATGACTGGTTTTGTGGTCCAGGGTCACATATTTGAGTTTAAACATTAAAAGTTTGTTTTCATGCTTCTGTGCCATACCTTCTCTATTTGCTAGAATGACGTTTTTTCAGAGATCAGTGAGCCATCATTCACAGTGTCAGTTCAGCGTAGACGCTGAGGGGACGCCGTATGATCTCTTTTGGTGTGTGTGCATGTGTTTCAGACTGCTAAAGGGAACGGCGTACCACTGGGACCTGATGCTCTCTGGGTTTATCAACATCCTGATGTCGGTGCTGGGGTTGCCATGGATGCACGCGGCTTTCCCACACTCCACACTGCATGTGCGTCAGCTGGCGCGGGTGGAACAGCGAGTAGAGGGGGGCCACCTCTATGAAACGTGATCGCAAGCACCTACAGACACACTTACAGACTTACAACTCACAAATATGAGAGTGTTAGTGACACATCAAGTGTGATTAACCGGAGTTGTAAAACACGTCCTTCTGTGTGCCTGCAGGATAGTCAGCGTGAAGGAGACCAGACTTACCTCGCTGGCTGCGAACATCCTGATTGGTTTGTCAGTGTTTTTGCTACCGGTGCCTCTGCAGTGGATACCGAAACCCGTTCTCTACGGCCTCTTCCTGTACATCGCTCTCACGTCTATTGATGGAAACCAGATGTGTGACCGAATGGCCCTTCTGCTTAAAGAACAAGTAAGCCTTGAGAGCCAGTAATAATCATTTGGTGGAGTATCTTTGTTCAAAAGTTTTTTTAATAGAATTCTTATTCAGCATTAAATTGATCAAAAGTGACAGTTAAGACATTTAGAATGTTAAAAAAGATTTCTGTTTCAAATAAATGCTGTTCTTTTGAACTTTCTATTCATCTGTGAATCCTGAAAAATAAAATGTATCATGGTTTCCTCAAAAATATGAAGCAGCACCACTGTTTCCAACACTGGCAAATCAGCATATTATTATGATTTCTGAAGATCATGTGACACTGAAGACTGGAGTAATGATGCTGAAAATACAGCTTTGATCACAGGAATAAATTACATTTTACAATAGATTCACACAGAAAACAATTTTAAATTGTAATAATATTTCACAATATTACTGTACTTGTGATCAAATAAATGTATCTGTGGTGATCATAAGAGACTTCTTTCAAAAACATTACAAAATCTTAGCAGCCCCAAAACTTTTGAAGAGTAGAGAAGAACTATTCATTTTAGCAGCTTAATTATTAATCCATGTTTGGGGATGAACTGGACATAGGGAACAACACTGGGACTTTTCCTGGTTGAAACCAATTTTTGATTTAAATATGAAAAAAAACAACATTCATTTAAATAAAAAAATGTTCTTAGGCCAATTTGTACTACACCATTGTTTGGGGAAAAAATGCATCTTTCTTCACTGATGGCTGTTCAAATTAACCATAAACTGTTAAAAACAGTCGATGAGTGTCACTGTATATTAAGAGCACCATCCATTACAGCTCAAGTTAATAAAGTCAATAAAGACACTTAATACAAGCAGTTAAACATTCACCGTAACTTAGTTTATTTAAAAGCTGTACATGTTCCTCTGGGTTTCAAACACAAGGCTTTTTGACCTCAATCCAAGTCTCCAGATCACTCAGTATTTATCAATGATACATCATTTATTGTGTAATTTAATAGTGCTGACTTCAGATTGTACAACCCCAAGGAAAATCAATATATATCACTATACAGTGGGGTGAAGGACTATCTGTGGTTGTAAAGAGTCATAAATCTTAGGTTGTTTTTGAATCCCAATCTATTCCAAAACAATGCGTATTTACAGGTTTAAAGTTAACATGAAAGCATTAGCAACAGATTTAAAAGTAATGTGACAAATTTCTGAAGGAAACTAGGTAAACCTTAGATTTTGTACTGACAAGACACATCAAGAGTCAAACACCGGTCACAGTCATATCTCACTGGCCCAAAATTCAACTCTTCATAACTGTATGTTTAAAGGGGTCATATGATGCGATTTCAAGTTTTCCTTTCTCTTTGGAGTGTTACAAGCTGTTCTTGAATAGATAAGATCCCTAAAGTTGCAAAGACTAAAGTCTCAAACCCAAAGAGATATTCTTTATAAAAGTTAAGACTCGTCCACGCCTACCTAAAACGGCTCGTTCTAACACGCCCCCACATATCTATGTCACGATGTGGGAAGATTTGCATAACGCCGCCCAAATGTTCACACAAAGACAGAAGATGTAACTTTATTGTTAATGCCGCTGCCGCCATGTTGTGAAGAAGCTGTGTGTTTCATTGCGAAAGTGAAACTACTTTGTTTGGTCTTCCAAAAGAGGAAACACATTTCATACACCAAATACACCAAATAATGTTATTTTTTAGCAACGTCATATGACCCCTTTAAGATCAAGTATCTTCTGTGTCGCACTGTGCAGTGGTTTTGTGTTCAGCATAAACAGACCATCAGCTTTTTGCTGGAAATTCTTCTTGGTTCCTTCATGGAATGTGTATTAGGAAAGTAAATAAGATTATGTTAGCTTTCTATGTTGACTAATATGAACTAACACAAATCTGTCACTGATCATTCTTATCTCAATCTGTGTTCCCAAGACGTCGTATCCACCCACTCACTACATCCGCAGAGTGCCGCAGAGGAAGGTGCATTATTTCACAGGCCTGCAGATTGTTCAGTTGATCATCCTGTGTGCGTTTGGGATGTACCCTCTGCCCTATATGAAGATGATCTTCCCTTTACTCATGATCATGCTCATTCCAATAAGGTATGCCATAGTTTTTATATCAGAGCGTCACTACGATTATAGAAAAATAGGTACAATGCTGTCTCTGAGGCGGTATCCTAAGGTATACAAGCAAAAAGGTACATCTTTTTACCCCTAAATGGTGCATATTAGTACCTTAAAAGCACTTAGTACCTAAAGTGTACACATTAGTACGTTTTGAAAGGATACTGTACCTTTTTTCTGAGTGTACATTTACAATGTCTTTATCATTATAACAAAGCAGCTTGTCTGCTGTTTACTGTATTTGTGTGCATAACGTCTGTCAAACAATGCAGATTTGGTATCCTGACGGATAAGGCAGTTTTCATATATTTCAACACTGAAAAAGGGCCAAATTAACATATATGCCATAACATAACATTTTCTTTGCAGGAACTACTTGTTGCCGAAGATTATTGAAGCAAAGTACCTGGATATCATTGATTCTCAACACATGTAGATGAACAAATAAAAAAAGGGACTGTTCAGAAACATTAACACTTCTAAAATGCAGGGGGAAAGTGCATTTCCTATTTGTATTCTTGTTAGAAAACATGGTTTGCTGGCTGTGATATGTGCCTTCTATGTGTTATGGATTCATTCTTTATACAACGGTCCCTGACATTTTGTATTTTTTTAGTGGAATCATAAACTCTTATTTTTTCCTCCCATGATTCTCAAGTGTCTGTTTGTTCAGTCACAGCATGTATCTGGCACTGGGTTATGTGGTGAACATTATTACTATTTTATTTCGCTATCTAAAACTGCACACAGAAATATTTGATCAAACAATACAGCAGATCAAACACATTTCAGAACGCAATCTCAACACATCTCATTCAGAGCTTACTCTTCTCTACCATGTTCAGGTTTTATACTTTTAACTCTTAGATGCACTCTATGCATCCACTACTGTAGACTGACCTTTAAAATCACATCCTCACTAACACAACCTTTGACTCTTACCCATAATACAATATGATTGTTCTCTTTATAGGTGTTTGCTTTTCTGTTCATTATATAAAATATAAATTCTTGTTTTGACATAAAGAATATATTTACTTAATATATTTTATTAAATATTTCATGCATCAGAGAGTTACACCTGAAATAAGGATAATCATTCTGACGTACTTTTTAAGACCAAATGATTTTGTCATGTCTTTTTTCAGCAAGGATGTATTAAATAGATCAAAACCGATAGTAAAAACATTTATAATGTTACCAAAGAGTTCTGTTCAACTTTATCAAAGAACTTTCATCAACTATTCATCAAAGAATCCTGAAAAAGTATCACCGTTTTTCGTTCTCAACAAAAATGTTCCTTGAGCAGCAAATCAGAATGATTTCTGAAGGATCATGTGACACTGAAGACTGGAGTAATGATGCTGAAAATTCAGCTTTGATCACAGAAATAAATGACATTTTAAAATACATATGCCAATATGTGCCATTTCATATGATGAAATTCGACCGTAAAGCACAAATCTTATAATTGACTTCAAATTATAAAAAGCTAGGGTTTATCAGTGCTGGGTAGATTACTTATAAACTGTAGTCTGTTACTGATTACAAATTACCTGATGGAAATTATAGTTTGTAATGTAATCTGTTGGATTACACATATTGGTTAATGTATTCTGACTACTTTTAGATTACTTTTGACCTAAAATATATTCAATTCTATGTTATCAACATCATGAAGTGTATTAAACATTACATTACGCCGGGGTTTTCCAAACTGGGGTTCATGAATGAACTACAGGGGGTTTGTGAGTTGATTAAAATATGTAATCACCATATTATCTATAAAAAGTAACTACTCTGAATGTAATAGAATCTAACTAACGTACTTCATTTTTGGGAATCTGATTGCGTAATCCAGATTACATGTAATCAGTTACTACCCAGCATTGCAGATTAGTGATATTAATATTTGTTTCCAACAGTTTGTGTTGCAGCACAATGACTATATATAAAATGAATACAAATAGTTTTGCTATTGATTTACATTAAAGCTCCCAACGTTTGATAGCAGATTAAAAGTGCATCCAAACTTCTAGATTCCCCATTTTGTGTCCATTGTTTTAATATTTATAGAGCAGATTTTAAGAATGGCACATGCCCCACAATGATTGTGATTCATCTGAAAGTTGTGTATCCTAGCAACACATGAATAAAAGCCCACAAGTGGTGAGCATGAGCTCAGAGGAGTCAAGAGGGCCCGTGTACTGCAGACTGACGAGGAGCTGTTTACATGTAATCAAAGGCAGGTCTCTTAAGACACAAGCCTTGAGCAGCGCTGCAGAGATTCAATCACCTGTGTGAGCCTGACTAAATAAAGGATTAAATAAATTTCCATGTGGTTTGTCTTGAAGTCAAGAGATGAATAACTAGCAGGTGGGCAGATGATATTGTTCTCGCAGATTGGCAAAAAATGTGTCTTCATTTACTTGCCTTCATGTCATTCGCAAGAGGAGGTGTTTAGTAGAATGTCAAAGTTGCTCATTCCCATATAACAGTAGTAGGGCTTTTCACATTGCGCCTAACCCCACTTTTAACCCTGGGTAAAGTATGTTTCACCTGTCGATGTCTGTCTGTTCACACGGCAGCCGTATTTGCAAGGCCTCTGGGCATTTGAATTACATATTTCAAACTAGATGAGTAAAGTTTGTAAACAAACTTTGATGTTGGCTTGACAAAGCCTTGTTTGAAAGTTTGAAATAACTTTGAAAAGTCTGAAGATTTTACTTAAAGCCAATAACAAGTTCTACCACATTGCAAAGATGTTGCTAACATGTTTTAGCACATCGGTAGTGTGATTTGGCATGTTGCTAACATGTTTTAGCATGCTGATAGCATGATTTAGCACGTTACCATGTTTTTGTATGTTGCTAGCATAATTTAGCAATTGCTAGAATGTTGTCAACATGTTTTAGCACATTTTTAGAATGATTTTGCATGTTGCTAGCATGATTTAACACATTGCTAACATGTTTTATAATTTTGTTTGTAATCTGTTGGCATTAGTTTACTGTCTGAGATTTGTATTGTCTGAGAATGTGCAATGCGCTCTGTAAACAGAGTTGTTATGTAAACAGATTGCACTGCATCCAATCATCGTCCAATCAATGACACTGACACGTCAAATATGCAAATAAGAATATTAACCCGGGATGAATGTTCAGTGTGGAATGTTAGTTTATGAATATAATTAATTGTTAACCCCGTTGAAATTATGAGCAGTGTGGATTGTGAAGCAAGATAACCCAGGATTCCATTTAGAATGACCCAGGGTTAACTAATTAAAAGCCTTACTGAGTCAGACTTTGGAAAAAAAAAAGAAAAAAAAACCCACCATAAAACAGCTTGTGCACGAGTCATACAATAGCTTTAAGTGACTGAACACAGACTGAAATTTAAGATGTTATTCATTATTTATCTTCCCCTCAGCCGTAACTCTCAAATCTCATATTTCAACACGTGCAGTGCTCCCTAGAGAGCTAAAAAAACACATTTGCACAGCCTTTATGAGAAAGCTGTGAAAGAATGGATTTTTAAATCCCTCTTCGCATCCTAATTGCCCCCTAATATGCTGTTAATTTATTGCATATTTTCATTCCATTCATTTCTTCTCTGTCCTGATATTGATAGTGGTTTTTATTTGATTTTTAGGCCTAAAAATCTCATGAGCTAAATGAGCGCAACAAATGACTCGAATTCTTCTTCATTCCCCTTACATTAACGACAAAGCGTGAAACAGCCAGTTTTATTGTCTTCATCATAGTTGGCTGGGGGCTATCAATAATCACAGAAATCTTCACATCGGTCTCGTTCTTTGATGGTAAGCACGCATTATTTGTCTATAATGATAAATGGCTGCGGCAGCGAGAATTCTTCATGTATTGTAGCAAATTGCACTGTAACGTATTTCCAGAGTGCAGCTGCTATTAAGATCAGCGAAGTGATTTCAGCCTCTTTATCATGAAGAGATGTGGCACACAATAGAAAGAAAATAGCATGACCTAGATTTTAAACAAGGCCATGTGCTTCAAAAATTCTCCTTTTATTCTGCTTAATGCAGAGTACAAGCTAGAGAGGAGTCTTTTTTTGGTCATTTTCTTTGTGGGAAATGACATGTCATCAGCACACCCCCACCCCTCTCACCTTCTCATCTCTGTATGGAAATGAATGCCTTAATCTTCCACTTTGACATTCAACAGATAAGGTAATCAATGAAGCATGTCTGTTTTCTCTTTGAGCAAGGTGTGTGTATGCGTGCACTAAGTGCTAAAAGCCTCCGAGTCCTTGATGAATTCACTTGTCTTGTTATTTCTGTTCAATTTAAAGTGCTGCCACACACAATAGATCACCGGACAGCCTAATTTTTTTATTTTTTTTAATATAAGATGTCCACATTTCAAAATACTCTTTAACAGATAAGGTTCTTTTGAATTTCAATTAGATGTCAATGCTATATTGTGATTTTACATAGCAGTACTGTTCAAACAAATTGCTTGTTTTTATTGAAGAAACCAAATGAAGTTTGCTTGTCAGATTATTAGATGTAAAATCTCATCAGTGACAATTAATATTTCCATAACTAACAGTCTTCTTCCACAAAAGGACTGTAGTTGTACTAGACAGTACTGGGTAGATTACTTACAAATTGTAGTTTGTTACTGATTACAGATTACATGACAAAAATTGTAGTTAGTAACAATCAAGGTTACACGTTTTGAGTAATCTATTCTGACTACTTTTGAAAATTCCTTTTTTTTTTTGCTTAAAACTTTCCATTAAATGTACCACATTGATATAAAATAAGCATTAACATTACTTTCCAGGGTTTCCCCAAACTGGGGCTAATGTAAGAACTGCAGTGGGTTTGATTGAGTTGATAGAAAGCTAATAATTAATGCAGTCATAAAAATGAAAAATAAAAAAATATATATTTTAAAATAAAAACAAAATAAAGCACTTGAACACTAAAAATAGAAACGTGTAATTATTTACCTGCATGTCAATGGGACATTAACCAACATCAGAAAACTGTGAACATGCAAATGTCTTGTTAAAATTATTGGAAATATTAACTTCCTTAGGGATATTTCAACTAAATATTTTAAGTCAAAGAAGTTTGGCAAAAAAAAAAACGTTTAGGAATCCATGCACATGCACATGAAGAAACATAAATAATAAACATAAAAACAGCAATGATATTACACATCCAAAGTTTTCATAGCTAACTGATATGACAGTATTTTTAGAAATGAAACTTTAAATGAGGGGGGAAAAAAGAATAATTACAGAAACTTGATAAATTATGACTAATTTGCTGCCACTGCGTGAATAATATGTAATCATGTAATCCATAAAAGTAACTGTAATCTGAGCATTTTAAAATGTAATCTAATTATGAGTACTTAATTTTTGGAATCTGAATACATAATCCAGATTACATGTAATCAGTTACTACCCAGCATTAGCACTAGTCTACAAAATTTGTCACTATAAATTATTTTACCTGGTTTGTATAGAAATTCGACATTATTATTCCTGTTTGAAATGGTCTTGTGTCTAAGCATTCTCAGCATGTGAGATCTACACTTGACCTGTACTTGACATGCATTCATGCCATCTGACTGTATGAGCCATTTACAC